TAAAGCTTTATGACTTTGGGCATATTCTGAAAAAGGAAACAAACACACACACCAGAATTCATTAGTTTTCAGGAAGGAATTGGCAAAGCAAACTGGACTACTCGGGTTGGCTTCTCAACTTATTCTCTGTGGAAAAGTCATGGTGTCAGATCAAGAAAAGCTGAAGACAAACATCTAAAGGATGCCTGAAGAGCTCAGATTCAAGTATGCATGAGTACTCATGTGAACCTAGCAGTACTGGGCACACACTGACTTACTGTTCTTCCACTTTTAAGAAAGTTACTTAAGCTGCTTTTGCCTTTGTTTCCACATCTACCCAAATGACTTACTCTTATTCTGTATGTATGATGTGGTACAATCCTGCAGAGAGACCTGAGTTCGAATCCTGTCTCTGGCACCTGCTAAGAGATCATGGACAACTTATATTCTCTGAGTTTCAGTTCCCTTATCTGTGAGAGGGGGTAGGAAATAACATAGCCACCTTACAAATTTATTGTCAGAATTAAATGAGAAAATGCATTTAGGTCTTGATTCCTGTTAAGTGCTCCATAAATGATAACTTATTATCATCTCACAGAGCTTATCTAAGAAAATAATACAATATGGGAGGGGAAACTTATCGGTAACACTATTATAATCTCAAAGTTACATTATCAGAAATACCACTAAACTCTCACTTCCTCCACGTAGGCGTAGCTTGCTTAAGGCCACTTGTGCCTATGTTTTCTACCAAACTTTACCCCTCTGTGTTTTCCTCTCCTTTCCAGCAGCAGGGCTTTTGCCTACACCTGGGGAAGCTAATAGCTGGATGCGGGCATGCTGTAATTCTGACCTTTCTCGGTCAGCTCCAGGATGCTACTTGTTGAAGTAAGAAGCCCTGCTATCAAGGACCATCAAGAAGCATCACATTATCTTCAAAAGCACCTGTATGCACCTTAAGGTTTCAGGGTCTTCGTTCCCGCCATTTCTTATAAAGACACCCAAGTCTCCTACTCTTATGCCTACCTGCTTCACACAACTAAATCTGTTCAGTACAATTATCTCTGTCTCAAGTGGTCATCATTCTTTTGTTAGAAAGGTGACTATGGACTTTAGTTTTTTTTTCTTCCTGCCTTCATCTTCAAAGCCATTCAATGAATATAGCAAGTCCTCAAATAATGTTCCATTCAATGTCATTTTGTTATAATGCTGTAGGAACTTAATTCTTATTTATATCAAATAGCCTATTAATTGGTAAAATTGGTTTTGTTACATATTGTTTTACTTTATGTCGCAGAACCTAGTGACATTAAGCGAGGACTTACTGTACTACCATTAAACAAGTACTATGCTACGCCATGTAGATCTAAAACTGAATAAGTCTTCACGCTGTTCAAAGATTAACAGGGGAGACAGAGATATAAAAGTAATTGTGTAACAGAGTAGAGGTAGTCTACGTACTATAGTGTCTTGAGGGAAAAAGACACTCGGGGTGAGACAAAAAATGGTGACACTGCAAGAGACTCAAAATAGCCCAAAAAATCTTGAAAAAGAAAAAAGATGGAGGACTCACACTTCTTGATTTCAAAGCTTACTACAAAGCTACTATAATCAAAACAGTGTGGTACTGGCCTAAGGATAGACATATAGATCAATGGGACAGAATTGACACTCTAGAAATAAACCCATATATCTATGGTCAATTAATGTTTGACAAGAGTGTCAAGACCACTCAATGGATAAAGAAGTATTTTCAACAAATGATACCGGGACAGTTGGATATCTACATGCAAAAGAATGAAGTTAAATCCTTACCACACACCACATACAAAATTTAACTCAAAATGGACTGAAGGACTAAATGTAAGAGCTAAAGCTATAAAATGCTTAGAAGAAAATACGGGTGTAAATCTTTGTAATTTTGGATTAGGCATGGCCTTGTGGACATACTAAAAACCTGTGAATGATATACTTTGAAAGGGTTAATTCTGTGACATGTGAGCTATACCTCGATTTTTAAAAAAGGGGACAGACATATCTTAAAGGATATGCTCATTGGGCAGACGATAGTGAGAAAATAATTCTAGGCTGAAAGAACAGAATGAAAAAAGGCATGGAAACCACAAAAAAGAAACGCATTCAGAGAAGTAAAAGTGGCTCAGAGGCTGCAGTATAGATATATGCATAGGAAGTCAAAGAACGAACAAGGTAGTGAAGAGACAATAATGAAAGCCCTATGTGCTAAGCAAGGCGGAGTCATGGGGCGCCTTCAATGAGAATGATCTCCCAGGAGAATGACTTAACCAAATTGTTTGGCTCAATCCATCTTGTCAAAGAAGACTCCTTCCATCAACTCGGAATCATCCAACAACTCTGCTCCACTTTGGCAAACCCAACACTCATTTTCTCGCCATTTATAAAATACATTTATTTACAGCATCAGTTATTCAAAGTTTTCTCCTCACCAGAATATAAACTCCTTAAAGACTCCCTGTTTCCAGTCTTGACTATGTAAATGCAAGTACAGAGCCTCTGTGGAATTCCAAAGATGTGTAACGAGACTGGCAATTCCCACAAAGTTCTGAGTTTTCCTCACTTTACAAACCTTTGCTCATATCGTCACCCTGTTCAGAACGCCTTCCTAATCACAAGTTTGTTCAAAAGTTCGCCATTCTTCATGGTCTATTTCTAATGCCACTTCCTTATGAAGGCTCTGCTCTTCTCCCATCTGGATCTAAACTCTCCTGTCTTTGAAAGAGGGTGTATTTTGTACTTTTCTTATGGGAATGATTTTGGTACTGATTTTTTTATGGTAGTAGAGTGCAGTTATTTGGACATTCCTCTCATCTCATAAGAACCTTGAGATAAGGTCTATGTCCTTCCCAGGCTTATAACTCCCAGCACCATGCTGGGTAGAGTCTGAACTGAACTGTTCAATTAGTAGCAAAAATGATGGAATCAGAGACAGAAATAAGCATGACCACAAAACAAGTTTTTAAAAATTCTAGAAAAAACTACACAAAACAGGACACAGGCACAAATAACAGAAAGTGTATGTTGAATCAATCTGTGACCACTTGGCTTGTTTATATCTGGTCATTTTCATCACATGGATTTCATTTTGCTAGAACTCTAGAAGACTCAGACAAAGAGTAATGGCCTCCCAGCTGCTGTGTTCCCACATCTGTGGTTTTCCTATGATATAAACAAAAGATTCTGGAGGTATGGTCTCTGTTAATATCTGCTGGTATGGGGTCTAGGGGAGACATGGGTGGTGGGGTCAGGGGGAGCTTGAGGGAAATCCACCTAGTGAACTGACAGTTCATATAAGCAACACCTGGAATGTTAAATCCCCTACAATTGTTATTTTATTGAAAAAAAAAATTCACTCTTCCTTTAGTAAATGTAAAAATTTTTTCACCAGCTGCATTCCAATCTCAAGTGTGTGGCAGTTCAGGAGAGGTGGCAGCTGGAACAGATCTTATTCAGGATGTAGTAAACGTTCACCAGCAGCTAAGGGATAACCAGAGCGCACAAAACAAATCTTCAGAGCTATGCTCCTTTAAGAAAATGGGTTAGTATCAACCTGCCTGCTCAGAGTTTTCTGCTTGTAAACATTGAGAATACTGGAAATACACATCTACATCTGATTGGCAAAAGGCGAAAGGATTAGCCTTTTGAATAGAAACTCTGTGACATCAGCTATTCAGGACTCCCTACTTAACTTCATAAAACCCTGAAGCCTAAGTTTTGGTTTTAATCTTATTTTTGTTAAATATTTACAATCTACTAGAAAACCAAATTCAGATCAAATGTCTGCGTACATAACCTCGTGACATGGCCACTCCTCCCGAGAAGAGGGCAAGAGAGCTAGCATTTATTGGTACCAGGTCAGTTATTCTCTTTGCGCTCCATCCTCACAACTCTGGGAGGCAGATATTCGCATTTCACACACAGATGAGGTAAGTTGGGCCCAGGGAGGTTAAGGCATTTGCTCACACTTCCAAAGAAAAATGAGAAGAGTTAGGTTTGTCTGACTCCAAAGCCAGTGTTCTTTCCACGTGCTCTGCTACTGGCCAGTATACCCCAGAGAAGTTCTCTAGAATTTGTAAGAAAGCTACAAGCGTCTATGACTCTAAAAGAGGCACTGGCAAACTTTTTCTGTAAAGAGCCAGATAGTAAATATTTTGGGCTTTGCAAGCCATATGGTCTCAGCGCAATTACTTAAGTCTGCTGTTGTAACAAAAAACAGCCATAGATAACAAATAAATGACTGAGCATGGCTATGTTCCAATAAAACTTTATTTACAAAAAATAGGCAGTGGGCCAGATTTGCCCCACAGGCTATAGTTTGCTGACATCTATTCTAGAAGGTTCTAGAGTGGGTAGCTTCATGTTATTTGGTTTAGAAATTAATAAAGAATTATCTGTTTCCAACTTAATCAGCAAACATGACAGTCTTCTATGTTCTATATGGTCCACTTACTTAAGGAATTTACATTCTTTTGGGAAGAAAAGACACAGGCAAATAAAAGCCAAATAGTAACACTACACAGTATGTGGTTAAGTGCCAAAGGAGGGGAGCTGAGGGCCAAAGGCTGACTGATGGGCTGCCATAGTATCAGAAAATCACGGTTCACAACCCGGTCAAATAATCCTGCATTGCCACCAGAGCTCAGAAGGAGTCAGAAAAACCTCTTAGTGGGCAAGAATGAAAATGAGTCAGGAGTTACTGATATGAGCACTATCAAAAATGCCCATTCTGATGAGACCACTTAAGGTTTTCAAGCACATGTCAGATACTAACCAAAGATAATATCTCCTTTAGATTTAGCAAACACTTCCATGTCTTTTTCTCAAAGGACAATTGACCTAAGGTGCAAGATAAACTGAGCGCCTTAGGAAACTCGTAGGTCTTCCATTCCTCTCTCAGGCCGTACTTTAAGAGCCCAAGGAAGCTAGAGGCAAGAGCCAACAGAAACTCTTGGAAGTCTAGGAAGTGGCACTTACTAAAATCTTACCTTGCTCATGGCAGTTAGGGCAGGATCGCAGGCAGCATCCAAATCCTGAACCAGCAACTGAATACTGCTAGAGATGACACTGCAAATCAAACGAATTTATTAAGGTCATAACTTAAAAAAAAAAAAAAGACTTTTTGAATGACTGATACAGCCCCCTGCATATGTTTCAGGCACCTGTGTAAATTTAGATTCATCATTACATCAGAAACTCAGATTCTAACTTGACTTTCATTTCAAAAGGGAATTAGTGACAACGAGGAGCATTTGGTTCTTTCTTCATTCTTGCTGCATGTCCTGGTCTTATTCAGGTTTGTCTCCACTCATTCAGGACACAAATTTCCACAGCTAGTCTCCCTATTTGCTACATCCAAAATCTTTCTTCGCTTCTGTCTTCAAAAGTACCTGTTTGCCAAAATGTTTACATCAGAACTTGGGTAAAAAAAGAAACTGAGAAAAGAAGAAATGACATAAGAAGAGAATTTTGATTTTTCCTCAAGTGGTTGATGAGAAAGCTGAAGCTTGGCGTATCCCAATCTCATTTAAAAACCACAACAAAAATATTGCAAGGTAACAACAGGAAAAGAACTATATCAAGAAAGTTTTACAGTTTGAATATCTTGGGAGAGATACCCTCCCACCCAAACACACACACATACCATATGGCTAAAATCAGTCAGCTTACAGCTATATATTCTAAAATACTGGAGGAGGGGCTGGCTGTCCATGGACTTAGGGAGTCAGATAGGAGGCCGTGGACCTGACTTTCTTGCAGGGATGGTCAAAGGAGGCTTTCTTCTCTTTTGTTATTCTAGACAGTGCAACAATAAAGACCTGTAAGCTAAAAAACAGTTGGTTCTGAGGAGGCAGAATGGGAGGCGGCTGCAGCAGCTTCTAATCCTTCTTATTTAGTGGCTAGTAGAGGATAATCCTGATCCAACAGGAAGCCCTGGAAACCTCTTAGGTTCTGTAGTGACCTAAAGCCTGAGACATGCTGCTTTCTGAAGGGCAGGCCTTGAGCCTGCAAGTGTGCAAGGTACATACGTGCTGAATGTGTCCATTTCTCCAGTCAGATTGATTCGTTCGATCAGACTTACATCAACTTTTTCTTTGAGTTTTTCTTCTAGCTATTAGAAAAGAAGAGAGAGGAAAAACATGCTGAATGATTATCCAAAGGAGTACTATAATAAGAATACTTAACATTGACTGGGTTTGTTGATTCAGATACAATTCCAGGCACTTTTCATGTACTAACTCATTTAATTCTCACAACTCTATGGAGAAGATTCTTATCCCCATCTGAGAGATGAGAAGATAGAGGAGCGACCTACCCAAGATAGCAAGTGGTAGGGACAGGAATCAAATTTCCTCCAGAACCTGTGCCCTTTAGCACTGGCTGGTACTTGTTTCTTATGACACACTGACAATTCATTTCATTAGTTTTAAAAAGACTGGGATTTTTAGGATACTCCCTATCCTTGAACTGCAGGCTCACTCCCCAACACTGGAAGCCTCTGGTGGTGGATGGCAATAAAATTAGTATTAAAGTATTCGCTGAGAGCTACTATGCGCCACCCCGTGTGTTAAGGTGCTGGGGATACCGAGGCAAAGAAAAACAGTTCAGTCTCTGCCTAGATGAGAAACACTGGCCATGCTCCCAAAGAAAAATACAACTGACCAGGAATTATAAATATCTCCAAACATCCTGGGAATTGATTCATCTAGCACTCCCAGATCTATTTATTACACGAACTCTAAGAATAACAAATATTTTGTCTTAAATGTAAAAATTTTCTTAGGGGTACATAAATTAGTATGACCCTTTTGGAAAACAATTTATTTAAAAAGCAAAAAATTAAATATACATACTTTAAACCAGCAGCTTCACATCTAGAAAAGTATTTCAATGAAATAATGAGAACAATGTATGAAAGCAAGCATTTTTTTACAGCATTCATTAATTCAACCAGTATTTACTGAAAGCCCATTTTATACTAGGCTCTGTAAGAGTCTGGGAGTTATTCAGTGAACAAAACAGATAAGATCCTGTTCTCATAAAGCTCATATTCTCGTGCTGTTTACTAGTGAAAAAGTAAAAATAATCTACACATATATTTACAAGGGACTGATGAAACAAATTACGGCGCAGGCTTACAATGCTTAAATTCTTCAGCAGCCTCTTCCTATTACACTGAAAATAAAAACCAAACCTCTAACCATGATTTGTATCCTGTCTATCTCAGCTGCCCACATCTTGCTTTCCCCCTTGCATGCTTGGCTTCACAGTTATACTGACCATTTAAAGTTCCGGAAATACCGAAATCTTTCCCCGCTCAGGGCCTTCATACTTTGCACTTCCTACTTTCTTTCCCTGAAACACTCTTTGCTCACCCCTCCTAACCAGCTTCCTTGCTTTGTGGTCCCCCACCTCCTAACCCTTCCAAGCTTCTCAACTGGCAGTCTCCTTTCCAACTCTCAGGTCTCTGCTTCAATGTCACCTCCTCAGAGAGGCTCTTCTTCACCATTCCACTTCTGTAGGCAACTAGGCACACCCGGGGCCTGGCGCACCCGGGGTATGGTCAGTGGCTCCACCTTGGGTGCGAAGCCAGGACCTTCTGTGTGTAAAGCAGACGTGCTAACCACTACACTATGGAGCCACTCCCTGTATTTACTTTTATAACAGGTAAAAATAATTTTCACTAAATAACAAAAAATTGACTACATCTATTAACGAATCAGCAAAATGGTCTCTAATCTACTAATACTTCCAGAACTTCTGAGAATCTGTTCTTTTAGAAAAATAACACAAAATATTAGATATTCTTTGTAGGATTACTTATAAAAGCAAAAACTTGAAGTAACATAAACAGTTATTAGGGATACTGTTAAATAATTTATGGTATATCCCCTAATGGAATATTATGTAGCCATAACAATGATCATAGTAAAGACATTATAGCAACAGGAAAAATGCTAATGCTATGATGTTAACAACAAAAACCTATGAAAATTAATTAAGTCAAGATTATAGCATACAAAACTATGTTGATGAAAAATGATTAGAAAAAGATCTCTAAATTGCTAATATGATTATTTGAGGGGGATGGGCTTAAGAGTCATTTTATAACTTTTTTTTTAGGTACCATGGTTTACTTTGAAAATACTTTATTTATATGTGTGATTCTTTCTCTTTCTACACACAGACAAAATAGTGTTTCTGCATCAAAGAACTCTGGGACCCCTACTTTGGAGATCCTCACAGATATTGCCATCCTGCCCTGGGAGTTCTTGGGGCTAAATGAATTGCCATTTCTGGCTCCAAGGCCAAACTTTTATAGATCATTCCCTGTGTAACTCAATATGGCCAGGTCCCAAGCAGAGCATGCTGCTGCCTCTGCCTCTGGCTTGCTTAACTCCAACTGTGGCGTTTTTTGGGGAATAGTTCTTATTCGGCCTCCTGTATTCTTGCTTGAGCTCACAGGTGCTCCAAGCTATGCTGTCTGAACCACAATTTATGACTGCCTTCCTATGATCTAGACATGTGTAAATAATAAACCCAAAAGGGAGGGAAGAGCAGAACCTTCCCCAATTACTTTCTTTCTCTTGGCCTTAGGTGAATTCCAGACCAAATGTGAAACGGAACCTCTAATTCCATGTCTAAGGCCGAATGGAAAATTATTCTGAGTCTTCCTTCTCTTAATGGGGAGCTCCAGTAGAGGCATCACCCTTTCCTGCTTCACAGTTCCTGAACGTCAGCATCCAAACAATGGTTATTTGTTTAGGCAGATTGAGACTGCTATGTAAATTCCAGAAGACACATAAAAGCCCAAAGGATTCTGCTTAGTCTAGTAATACTCCTGAGAATGGAATAACTAACTGTGACTCATCACACCAAAGGTTAGGTCCTAGTATCATTTAGTTTGTTCCTGCTTGTCTCATATTGGAGACAAGGCTACTGACCTACTTTCAAGAGGGCATGCCCTTTATGTAGCTTACATAACTCCAGGGAAGAGATCAGCCACATTTTCTTGCCCAGGATCCTTTTAACAAGGCCCTTCTGTAAGATGGCTGCCTGGGCCGTCTTCTGGCTAGACAGTCAGTTTTCCTCTGTGGGAGGCCAACTTGTCTGCCCAAGGTTTTATGTGGCCTTGTTAGGGCCCACACTCTTACCTACTGAGCTAAGTGGCCCAGAAGGTTCAGGAAGGGGAGGTGGAGAGTGGACAGCCGGGGAGGCTCACCTGCTGAGTGGTGGCCAGACAGTACTCTGCTGTGCTCAGGATGCTGCAGATGAGGCAGAGCTCCTCTAGAGTGAACTTGGCCACTTCTGAGCCTTCCTTTTCCTTGAGGAGGCTGCTGATGGTCAGCCCTCCACTGCTGCTTGTGGTTCTGAGGAAAAGGAACAGGAAGTAGTCAGGCTGGGACTTCTCATTTGCTTCCTGAACTGGAAACTGCTCATCTTAAGGCAAAGAAAAGGGGGAAGGAAAGGCTGGATGTGGCCCAAATAAATCCATATACAATGAGTTTTTTCCTGTTGACCTCGCTTTGACTATCATCTGTTTAAATTCTCTGACCATCAGAAATAGGAAGAGATGATTCCAACAGTGAGCCAGTAATCAGTCATGTTCACTATGATGACTCTGATACTCAAAAAGAAGGCTACTGAGCAGCCTCTCTGCTTAACTTGGAATTTCCTGATCTATAGAGCTCACTTAGAATCATCTGCAGCATAAAAGCTGGTTCCCCAATTGTTTCACTTAAGAAAATTTTGCTTAGGAATTTGTACATTGTGCTTGGGGAAGGGCACAGAAATGAATGTTAAGACATGGTTCCTGCCCAAAGCCCTGATTGTCTCAAGAAAGCTAAAGGCATCTCATCCCTTCCTACTGATCTAATCACGTGTTCACCAAATGTCAAAACGCAGTTATCAAACTTCCTGCTATTTCAACTGTGAGAGCCTAATATATTTTTTTAAAGAATTCATAACATTTACCTTAAAAATAAGAAATTTCTCCTTTTAAAAAAGAGGCTCAGTACTTATAAGTGTGTGATGGAACTGGCAGTCTCGTCTACTATGGGTTAGGAGCATTAAACTATAACTTTTCTGGAGATACATTTTAGGAGCTTAAAAAAGTGTTCAGATGATTTTACCCAGTAGTTCTACTTCTGTTCAAGGATGCTTTTCTGAGTGTTATTTAAAATACCAAAATAGTGAACCCAACCTATACGATCAATTAAGAGAATGATCATTAAGAATCTCAGAAGTTAACTGGGATTCTTCTTTATGTTCGATTGCCATAGCATCACTAAAAGTGTTTTGATGCATATTTACTGTCACAAGTGCTGACTGTTCTCTGTTGGCCTCCCAGATCCATTTTCTGCTCTTCTCTTCCCTTCTCTATGGCTCAGGAGACTGACATCTACAGATTTATCATCCAGGCTCCTTGGGTTCAGCCAATGGGAGATACAGCAGGATGTTAGAAGGGTAGAGGAGAGAGAAGTCTGAGCAATAACTAACTGGTGTTCAAGCTCCCTCTGCTTCAGTGTGGTTCTGTCACTGACTGTGGCCTCAATGACTACAATTTCTCTGGGGCAGTCCTTCGTCCACAGCCCCAGCTCTCAAGTGAGTTTTAAAGTAGTAACAATTACCCATTGTATCCGGATACTTCAAAATCCTTTCACCTCCCCCCATTTCTGTGAATAGTCGCTTTAGTAACAACATCCCAGCTGAGTCTATCACTTGTTTCCTGCTGTGACACTGACTAATACAAATGGGAAAACACTCACAGGATGATGCTAAGTGAAAACAGCAGGGTATAAAATTCTAAGTTATATAGCCCCAATTCTGTTAAACAAATAGCAGCAAACAATCACACACACACACACAGAATGGAAAAACATATAGCAGAACATTACATTTCTTTCCTCTGGGTAGTGAGGTTATAGGTGATTTTTTTTTTTTGTCTTTGTGCTTTTCTTTGTCTTTTAAACTATAATGAACTTGTATTATTTTGATGATTGAGATAAAAGTTACTAAAAAATTTAAAATAATTTTTATCATAGTCAAAGAAATTCTCATTGGTGAGTCATATCTGTTATTTCAAATCTCTTGTGGAGCATAGGGATTTTATTTTTTTTCCTCCAAATAACATAAAACTCCCATATATGACACATTTTAGTGACAATGACAGAAACTAAATCCAGAATTGTTGAGTATAGCCATGGGGATGATTTATAAATACTAAATTCTGAAGCATTACTTTAGATTATATTCTAATACAGTCAAAATTGCTATAGTATAACCAAATCATCTCTAAAATTCTAGTCGAATGATCCATTTATTTTAAGCAATAAGCAATAAAACAATATTCCAATGCCCCAGTGAATGCAGTGTAGTCACTATAATTAAGGGCTGTACTATCTAATCCCCTCCCCGCAAATCCCACCACATATTTAAACACTAGACTCTATCCAGTATAACAAGATACACACACCATAGGAGAGACTTTGGAACATAATTGAATTGAGATAAAAGCAGACTCATGCCTCTTATCCATTTATCATCCTACGGTGCATTCTCATTGAATGGGACCAGAATGAAATTGGCCATGCTGTTTGAAAGTTACTTCCACCACCACCCCACTTTTTTCCCCCCAAATATCTATCATTAAATCCATTTAAATTAAATATATATATAATGGACTGACTCCCTTGAGTCAACCGCAGATATGATCTGACCTACACTGGCAGCCAGTGTTGGCACTTCTAACAGTCTTGATCAGCTATGGAATCCCATTTAGAAAGGAAACAGTCTCAGAACTCAATAAGACTATTTTCCTCCTTGATACTTTTAGCAGTTCAGCAAACAACTTCAGAGTGGATTTCCTTAAAGTTTCCCATAGTTAGGTATGTTCAGAATCTTACTTCACCACTCAGGAAAATTAGGACTCACTTGGGCAGGTTGCCAGAGAGGATTTTCCAGGCATATTCTCGAAGGTACTTCTGGAAAATGGTGGTCAAAGCGATCATCGGCTCCCCAGTACTGAGTTGGGAGCACTGCACCATGCACTTCTTGTAGTAGACAAAGAGGTCAGCGCAGCTGGGGAGCACGGCACCCCCTTCATCAGTGTTGGGCTTAGGTGGCCCCTGGGCTTTGAAATCGGCCACAAACCGATCTATCAGCTCTCCAAGGTTTCTAAGAGGAAGAAAACTTGAAATATTATTTTACTTCAAGAAAGAGAAAGCAAATAAATGTGCTTGACTGCCAAGAGTAAATCATTCCTAATGCTCTCTACATTTCAAATTCGACCTATTATTATCAATATCATCATTAAACACTCCCATTACTCCTAAGTAAGAGCAGTAATAAAATGTGGCATCTGTGTGCTGCTCTATACTTTTCAAAGTATTTCACAATCACATTTGACCCCAAGCCCCTGTGAGGGAGATAAGATATTACTGGACCCTCTAAGACATGAAAAAATTAAGGCCTAGAAAGCCTGTCACTCATTTTAGAGCCCAGAATCCGGCACTTAAGCACACACACTAGTCTCACTACCATATTAGTACCATCTCCCCGTTCCGTAAATGAAAATCCTAACTAACGATAGTGAACATTTTCTGAACACTTGTGATGTCCAGGTGCTACGTCAGCGTTTTATAAGCGTCATTTCAATGAACTTCACTTAATCTTCACAGTAACTATTCAAGTGGGTACTATTACTATCTTCATTTTCAGAAAGTGAAGTGCAGAAAAGTTAAGGACCTTGTCCAAGGTCATACAGCAAGAAAGTGAGATAGCCAGGATTCAAAACCAAGCACCCTGGCTCCAAACCTCATGCTGTTAGCCACTCTACCCTAGTACTGCCTGAAACACAAAAAGGTTATGATCAGCAAATATTTAGGTATTGTTAACCTAAATGTGCCCAAGAGATAGATGCCAAAACAAAGAGAAAGTAAAGAAATATTCTAGTGCTTTCTTTCTCCTTTAATGAAGTTTTTTTTCTTAAAATTTCCAGAATCAAAAGTATACAAAATCTTGGGAGAAGAGAGGATACAAGTAGCTCTAGGCTTGCCCGAGATCAAGATGGTGATGATGGTTGCAATTTTCTCCCCTCTCCCATTCAAACATCATTGAATTTGCCTCAGTCATAATGAGTCACCACTAGTTAGAATCCAGCAGGGCTGTATTGATTGTTCCCTGCAAAGTTGTGCTGTATGGAAAATGGGAGGGGTCCCCACCCCTCTTGACATTTTGCAACTTTTTAGGTGGCTGTCTAAAGCTACAGAAATCCAGCTGTGCTTTTAAAATGTATTTATATAACAGTCAGGAAGAAAAAGACAAGAACCACACACGGCATCAATTCCTGATTAGCAGAAATAAGAGAAAATTGACATTTTACTCAAGAGCATTTGTTAATTAAAGTTTATTATATCCAGATGTAGCCATTCTGCCCTCAAAGAACTTCAGGCCTAGGCTAGGTCTTTGTCTGCGGTGACGATCAGCAAGCAGGGAAGGCACTCCAGGGTCACCACCTCATTCCTCACAACCTCTTATTGCCTTAACCTTTCCAGTTAATGTCCCCCCTCTCCTCCACAGTGACCCTATGCTCCAGCCAGACTCACTTCAGCTGCTGCCTGCTCCATCTCTATCCCTGACTCGGCCTTTGTCTGGATGCCTCCCCCAGCCAAGATGTTCTCCCATCACCTCTCTCCTCATCCTTTAAGCTCAGCTCATGTACCCAGACAACTCCTACTCACACCAGTTCTCTCTCTCCATTTCAACTGGTCATCTGTAACACACTGATATTTTACTTTTTAAAGATATTTTATTTTCTGAAGACCTTTCATATTTTGCAGAATGTCTACTAAGTTACTTTGACATTGTTCTCTGGTGCTAACGAGCAGTAAGGATACCAACTATTCAAGGACCATGTAGACTGTCTCCCATCCTGGGCCCATGGAGGCAACATTCATCAATAATGGCAATCTTTTTCACTGATCTTTGGTGTAATTTCGGAATCCTTTTTGAGACAGCACTCTAGCCAGCTACTTCTAATAAGCCAAAATCGGTACCAAAGGTGAAGTTTGCTTGCTACACAGTAGGAGAATCTTCTGTTTCATGTATAAGCTCCATGAGAGTAGGGATCACGTTTAAGTTACTTCACCTCTCCTCAGATCCACCCCTCGTGTTTATGTGTGAAGCTAATCTCTCAGTTATGTTGGTGCCCAGCACATACTCAGTTGATCAACCTCCACACTTTGTTCCTAAGGGGTGGGAATGGAAGGGTGGGAAGGTGGAGACAGGGTGGGGGCTGGTGCAGTGGAAGAGAGCATGTAACACAAACCAAAAGCTTCCACTTGAATCTTATGAGTCTAATCTCCAAATCTATAGTGCCAACCAAGACAGGGACGGGAGCTCTGAAGTATTTTTATTTTAACCACTTACCCAATTCCCCTAGAAATTGAAGTCAGGATACTACTTACTCACCAACTACCTATTTCAGAGCCAACTCGATGAGTAAGATTTTAAATTAGTTATGATCATAGAATGTAAAGAAAATTTCCGCTTTAAAAAACTCTAAAGACCTTCCATATTTTGCAGAACGTCTACCAAGTTACTTTTGACATTGTTCTCTGGTGCTTGCAAGAAGTAAACCAGTCAGCGTAATCCGCCCCTCCCTTCCATCTCCCGTTCTTTGCATTAGTACACTTTTATGCCACACAAGACATCAGAAAATAAGTACTCAACTTTTCACAGATGGGAACAGTAACAGTTTCCCCAATGGGAATGGGCATGGTTCATTAGTTTGAATAAATGATTCAATCCAATCAAACCCTGACTGAGCACTTAGTTATATGCAAAGTTCTGTAGACTGTAAGTGTAAGATATAAATGAATTCAACTAAAAAAAAAAATAGCAAAGGTTAGGTTATCACTTCTTCCAAGCACAAAACACTACCCTGAGTTCTGGCAACATCTTGTAAGACTACTAGAGAAAGGGATGTGTGCCATACTGACTTCTTGATTGGAATCACAAGGAGGCACTTTTTACACTCTAGAGCAATTACAACCAAGTAAGGGTTTACAAAGGGTGCCATGGGGGTTAAGACAGTGTGTGCCCATTAGAAGCTTTGATCTTTTTGGGGAGATAGGACCCTCATGCTTATGATATTTAGATTCTCAGCACAAAAATTTTGCAGTATACACAAAATGAAAAATTTGGTTTAGACAAAGGAAATGATGGGACACTAGAGAGAACATTTCACAGCAGATTCAGGTGAAAATGAAGGCACAGAGTTGGAAGTGAGCATAGAATATAGTGTGAGGAAGAAAGGGTGGGAAGGGGGAGAGGAGTTTGGCTGAGGTAGAGGACATAAATAGAGAAAAGTCTGCTTGCAATTTGATTTATATATTTCTCTGTATTCCACAGCCAAGTATTCATATTTTTATCCCTTCACGCTGTAAACCACAATCTTTCTTTGGTCTATCTCCACCACTAGGCTCTAAACTTACAGACTAGGCATGTGCTAGGTACATTATAAATACAATCTCATTTAATCCTCAGAACAGACTTGAGAAGAAGGCCGTATCATCCCCATTTTAAAAATAAAGAGACTGAGGCTGAAGAAAGTAATATTATTTGCCCAAGGTCATAGAATTATCAGAGCTGAAATCTGAACTTGGGTCTGTCTGACTCCAAAGCTGAGCTCTATCCACTCACTGTACCATGCTTTAATTTCAAAACCATAAAGCATTATACAGATATATGATATTACGATTATTAGCATTAGTCACTTTCTCTCCAGCTTGATGAAACATGTCATGGCTATAGACAGTGTCTTTTGCCCTCTTCCCTATAGCTTGAGCTTTTTACCCAAGAACTGTATAAGCATTTCTGGGGGGCATGTGAAATACTGCTGGGTTTCCACTGACAAATAAAATGACCTAGGAAAAAAGACTACTGCAGAGCAATATCAGTAGAGGGAAAGATGAAATTACAAAGAGAAGAAAAACCACACTGCAGACCAAGCTTATCTATGGATGACCAAGGCAGTTTCTTCTGGTGGATCTACAGTCAATGTTTATAGAAATAATATTCTAATTGGAAAGTAAAGTAATGATGGCACCGGGAGAGGAAGAAGGTAGTCTGAAAAAGTTGGCAAGGAGGTAAACATGGGCAAAGCAGCTTAAGATCCCCAAGAGGTTACAGAATTTGTTAATTCAAGGGTACTCAAACTAATTTGCAACCCTTTCACTTCCCTTTGGTTGGGGCCAAGGATTTGGCTCTGGTATGGCCTGTGGGGTTGGGAAGCCAAGGTGTGGCTTGAGCCCAACTGGGAGATGAGTGACACATAGGTAAGCGGAACAAATAAGTAAACACATGGAGGGTACTGGGAGCCAAGTTTCTCACTGCTGTAGAAGGTAGACATGTAATGGAGGAGGCTAAAATAAATCCTGTGGTCTTAGGTTAGAATTGGAAGCATCAGCATAAACTCACAGGTTTTAATATAGAAATAGGTATAAAAATAGATATAGATGTATATGTATATACACATACATATATTTCTTAGCTTTCTCAGCTGAGAGGACCTACAAGCATGACACCCAGTTTGAAGGGGTCCCAATAGCCAACTCATGGACAATTTGATCATTAAATAATGATGGATCTTGGAGGGAAAAAAAGGACATTAGTAGAAAAAGGGGTGAAATCCAAATGAAGTCTGGCATTTAGTATAGTACCATACCCATGTTAACTTGATGGTTCTGATAACTGTACTATGATTATGTAATATGTTAGTATTAGGTGAACTTGGGAGAAGGGAATATGGAAAATCTGTACCACTTTTGAAAATTTTCAGGAGGTCTAAATTTATTCCAACAGAAAGTTAAACACAAAAAGAGAGTAATGGCTATAACCCATTGAATAAAAAAGGAATCCATGAGTCCATGCTCATATAAATAAATGGGAAGAAGAGAAAGCTTTTTCTTAAAAATATAATGCCAACTAATAAATGTAGAAGAAATGACGAAATTAGAAAAATCATCATTTGGCAACTATCTCAGTAATAAATTATTCAGTCAAGTATCTTCTATGGGTGGTAAAATAAGTAGGTGAAAGATGAGAAAAAGTCTATTTATACGGTTTCAACATTTCTCCTGACACTTATTAATTACTTATTAATAAACAGAAAAACCTGGCAGAAACTATCTAAACCAAGTAATAAAAATGAACACCATAACTTGTGAGACAAACTGACGCTAGGTGCCTCCTGACATGAATTACTGAGAACACAGCATCACTTCTGTATAAATCACGAGAAAACATCAGTCAAATGCAGACGGTGGGACATTCCACAAAGTAACTGGCCTGTACTCTTCAAAAATTTCAAGGTCACGAAAGATAAAGAAAGGATAAATTATTCTTCTGGACTGAAGGAGACGAAAGAGACATGACAAATAAATGCAAACCATGATCCCTGAATGAATGCTGGATTTATAAAAAACATGATTGGAACAACTGGTAAAATGTAATGGGGTCTATGGATTAAACGGCAATACTGTACCTATGTTAATTTCCTGATTTTAATGGTTATACAGTGGTTATGTAGATTGTGTCCTTATTGAAAGGAAATGCACAGTGAAGTGTTACGGAGTAATGGGGCACCTTGGCTGCATTTTGAGAATTTAAATCGCTCAGAAAAAATATGTATGTGCATATATACGTATGTGTGCATACCTGAGTGTGTATGTGAGACAGGAGGCAGAAATAACTGTTAATTGGGGAATCTGGGTATACTGATGCTCCAAGTTTAATTCTTGTAGCTCTTCTGAAAGTTTGAAATTAATTTACAGAGAAACTTTAGGCTTGATCAAGCCAGAAGAAGGAGAAGTCCTATTTCAACAAAAGTTATTACAGGGAACTCAGGAGAATGGGCAGAAATGGAGTCACTAATAATTTCTCTGACTGAGAATGTCACCGAATGAAGTACCTATGTAGAAAAATCTCTTCTGCAAAAGTCAAGCTGAAGAAAATCACTACATTCTCAAGAGTAGAAATTATACTAAATTCCTCCTTAAACATGAACAAAAATTGAGAAAGCTGCATACAGCCTGTAAAACAGCTTAGCCCAACATGCTAAAAAGGTGGCTTTGGGGACATCTTCACTTCCTGCTTCCTCTGTGGGTACTGGCTCTGCAGTCCTATTACTGCTTGGCTTTTGGCTGGGGCAGGTGCTTCCAGAACCTTCCCTGGGCAGGTGGGAGGCTGGGGAGATAAGAAGATGAAACCTAAGCCAGACCAATGGAAAGCTGGCAACACTGATCAAGCTACCCAATCATCTGAGTACGAAACAAGATCACAGAGAGGGCAGAGCGAGTACAGTTTCTGTTCACTTGTGCCAAGTGCCAAGATGTCACCTCATTTCCTCCTCACCACTAGTCCTATGAGGGGGACATTATTAACTTCACTGCAGATAGGACAAAACAAATTTGGAGAGGTTAAGTACCATGCTCGAGGTCCCAGGCTGGTGAGTGCAGAGTTCTGACTCAAATCCAGGTCTGTCTGGCCCATGCTCTTTCCGCTACACCGTGTTGGGTCTCTGTCATCTGGGAGTTCGTGAATGGTCTAAGATTATCTTCCTTTGCAGATTTCTGAGTCAGAGCCACAAGAGTAGTAATTTCTACAAAACTAGTTCCCACCTGAGTTTCTTCCTCAGCATTGGGATTCTTTGACTTGAAGGAGGAAGGGTTTTATAGAACCCTTTGAAATTGTTCTCAAAAAAGTGTGTGGGCTTATGAGGATTTCTTTTTTTGACAAGAGAATCCATGGCTTTCATAGGTTCTCAAAGGGATCTATGATTCAAAAAAGGTTAATAACCACTGCTTTAGGCATTATTTTGTCTGATTCTCTTCTTTAACAGATGAGGAAATGGATTTCTTGAATTCTATTTTCTACTTCGAGCTTTTGCTGCTTATTCTGGAGCAACAACAGCACAACCTACGCAGTTCTCCTACGAGTAGCTTCCGCTACTTCCCTCGTGCTGTGGAAACATCCTAGTGAGGCCAAAAGGCAAGACGAGTGGCCAGCACTTCATTTTTCAAAGAGAAATGGAGAGTCCCTAAGGAAGGAAGGTCTGGCTCTTTGCCCAAAGTACCATGAACAATGAGTATGCTTTATATGAATCAAGGCCATATAAAGAAAAAAGGAGATACCAGAATTATAATAATTTGGAAAAATGACTCTTTAGACCATGTAGGTTGTGGGAGAGTATGTGGTTATCTCAGATATTCACTTTAAACCCTGGAACCAATAGCTTTTAAGCCTTTTTGATAATAAGAATTTGGGTTGATATGAGAAGAAGGAGCTTTGTCCAGAAATAGTCATCCAGGTGGGTTGCTCTACGACCTGTTGATCTAGTAGGCAAATAACAGGTCCTTTTTCCTACCCCTCAGGGGTGTCTTATTACCTTCCTGAGAGAAAACTTTCTGAATGCAGAAGATGGGGTGCTTCAAAGGACTAACAGGCAATAGTAACTACTCCCTGTGTGCCTGCAGACATAAATCCAACAGATAGAGAGCAGGAAGAAAACTGTAGCTTTGCAAGGCAAAAAAGGTCAAGGTAACTTTTTTTTGAGGCGGGGGGCTAGGTAGGGAGCAGCGAGAAAATTTTTGTTAATGTAGAAGCTCTTTGACAAAGTTCATTTTCTAGGATTTTAATATGAAGCATTTTGCAATTGTGGGAGAAAAGAGTAGAAGCTATCTATTAAACCAAATAGGTGAATGATAATAATGGTCCATGTGGTGATTCTACTTGAAATATTCTCTTAATCTTATAGTTTACCCCGGAAACATATGTGAAAACGAGAATTTGCTAACCCATGACAGAATCATTTAAAGAGGGAAACAAAACAAAACAAAACTGAATTTCAGTGCCTAAATGCTTTCCCAGAGAACACCCCTCAAGAACTTTCTCACAGCCGCTGTCTGCCCTGTGGGAGCCACTGTCCAGTACTCCTAAGTGCGTTCTTTGGGCTATTGGACCTCCTCTTGAAGCCTGGGCCAGCCTGTCTCTAGTCAGCTCAGCCTCGTCCAGAAACCCGACCTTTTCAAAATCTGCCTTCCAGGATAGAAGGGCCGGCATACTCTGGCTGTGGGCAGAGATTTAGGGATGAGGAAGGGTCTTCCTCCGTCGCATGAACAGCGGGCACTGGAACATGAAAACACTCTTCTGGCTGTGAGGAAACTAGGTTACGGTGGGTTGCTTTGTAAAAAATTTCTGGAGCACCTCAGTTTGTAAAAAGCATATACGTTAAATGGATGATAATAATAGAAGAACCCATCAGTCCACACTGACACAAATAAACAAACAAACAAATGGGTGAGAAGAGGAGCTCTTCCTTATAGTAGGACTCCAATTAGTAAATGCTGAAGAAATGATGGAAACAGACAATCAACATTTGACAAACACTGCAGTAATAACTGCTTCGGGCAAGAATCATCAAGGGATATCAAAATGAGTAGGCGATGAGAAACAGGAAATTTACATAGTCCCAAAGAATCCTCCCCGCAAGATACTTATTAATTACAAAGAGAAAAATAGTAGCTTCACAGAGAGAAAGCTGGCAGACACCACCTAAAGCAAGTGATCAAAGTCAACATCACCAGTAATGAGACAAATCCTGCCTCCTGATACCATGTACCGAGAAGGATATAACAGTACCTCTATTATGCCCAAAATGCATAGTCTGGATTTAATCAAGAAGAAACATTAGACAAACCAAACCCGAGGGCACTGTACAGAACTGGTCAGTACGCTTTAAAGTGTCAAGATCGTAAAAGACAAAAAAAAAAGACTGAGGAATCGTTCAAGATTAAAGGAGACTAAAGAGAGCTGGCAACTAAATGTCTCACTGGATCTTGGACCAGGAAAAGGACATTCGTGGGACAATGTTACCTTCCTGAGTTTGACAACTGTGGTTATGAAAAACGTTAACATTCTCTAGGGGAAAGGTCTATGAGAATTTTTTATAACCTTTTTTAAGTCTAAATTATTTCAAAACGAAAAGTAAAACAAATTATACTTGAAAACATCTACATTAGAGACTAGGCTTTCTTACCTCCTTTTGCCTGACATTATAAAGTCTCTAGGCTGACATATACAGCTACATAAGGGCTCAGTGCCCACGTGGGAAGGGGGTGTTGGGATCCATTTGGGACCTTATTAGAGTCAAATTCAGGCTTCTGAGATTTATAGACACAATAAATGATAACGTTCAAGAGATATAAAAATATCCTTAACAGGTTTCCAGGGAGGGCCACAGGCATGCCAAATCCCTCCTTCAGCCTCTGGAAGGGGTCATGCCCTTGGGAGGCCTGACCGCGATCAGAGGAGGGAGAAATGCAACAGAAAATAGCAAAATATTCATCACTCACTTGTCCTGGGACTCAATATACACGTAAAGATGAGGCTCAAAACACTTGGAAACAATGCCATGAAATGGATTGTCTGGGGCTTTAGGCTTCTTTGGCTGTAAAGAAAAAAAGAAAAGAAAAAGAAACCCTATACTTGAACCATCTTTGCAAATTTTCAAGCAGTTTCAAAGAAAACATTCCTTCAAAATTCACTCCTAACTCACAGATAGGAAGCACTCAATGTAACTAAACTGGGACTATATCGTGCATTATAATTTATGCCAATTTATGAATAATAAGCCAGCTTTGTTAGCAACATTTACTTGCTTTGTATGGTGAAAGATTTACTAGTACTTTTATAAAACAAGCGCTTTCAATTTGGAAGCTTTTCATCATCTGACTGATGAATAATTTAAATTAAAAATGTTAAATCCTAGTTATTAATTGTGCTTTATATTTGTAGTATTTTAAAATTTATAAAGTGCTCTCACATGACCTAATTTTGATAGCCTCCTTTTACTGATTCTTATTATGGGTCAAGTACTTTGATACGAAATAACATATCTATTCCTCACAACAACCTTCAATGTAGAAATTATTACTACTATTTTATACCCAGAGAAAGTGAGGTCAAGAGGGTCCTAGCAGCCTGCCCAAAGGTACATGGTGAAGTTTCCTATCCCCTAAACTAGAACTCTTTTGATTCGATCATTGCTTTCCTGCAATGGTTCTTAGACTGTTGAATTTCATCATAAGTAAATGTCAGGGGACCAACAAAGACTTGCTAACTTTTTATTTAGCTACTTACTATTCTTATCACAAGTTCCTAAAAGAAAGAGTATTTTATACCCAAACATTTTATATGAAGAAAATAGCAGCATAAAGGCATTCAGTCCTTTCTAAGAAAAGATAGTTGGTGACCTTATACCAGACAGACAGACAGATTGACAGACGGAGTGGCTGTTTTGTCTTTATTTTTTTGCGTTGGACCAAAGAAAAACGGGACCAGCACTAGTCCTCAACCTGGAAACCACTGATATATACAGTCATTTAGGCAAGCATTTAAAAACTGTATTTGCTACTTAATTTCTTTTCAAAACATCTAAAACGTAAACAAGGATTTTCCTACATACTTCGTTCTAGTCCTAAAAAAAGTCAATTCTGTCTATTGTCAAATGTCAACAAAAGGACCTTGAGTCCTTGCAGGAGTTGATACTACAGTATAATTTGGGTATAAATTGGTACCTACAGCATACTTGTTGAATTGAACTGCTCATATCTTTTAATAAATCCAGGAAAAGTTAAGCCCCTAATTACAGAAAGAAATGATGATTACCTTCTTCCAGGAATTAAAAAAAATTACACGTTGGAATGGTTAAAAGCATCTGTAAAAACTGGTTATGATCACCAAAAATTAAATGTCAACCTCAGACATATCCCATTCAATCTCATATTAAGCTCTCTTCCCTTTTCACCTAAGAGTCCTTTGTCTTTAATTTTTTTGGTAAGGTTCCTAGAAACTCTGATCCTCCCTAAAAGTGACTATAATCTGGGCGTTTTCTCTTATCCTCCAGAAGCCATTGCCAAAGTCAGACCTTATGCTAAGATTATGAGAAACTCAAAGACTGGGTTCACTGAATTTGAATTGGCTGGATCCAAAGTTCTACTTCATTTCCTAGATGCCCAGGAGTTTTAAATAAAGTCTATAGATAACAGTATTGAACTGATGTTAAATTTTCTGAGTTTGATCTGTGATAATTTAAGTGAAATCCTTCTTCTTAGGAAATACATATTGAATTATTTAGAGGTAAAGGGCATGATATCTGCAAACTTACAAATTATTCTGAAAGAAAGGCAAAGGGTAAAGAAAGAGGAAAGGAGGGGGAAGGGAGGAAGAAGCAGGGAGGAAATGATAAAGTAAATGTAGCAAAATGTTAACAACTGGTGAAACCACATAAAAGATATTTGAGAGTTCCTTGTAATATTCTTAAAACTTTTCCCTAAGTTTGACATTTTTTGAAAAAGGTTAAAAAAAAAAAAGTGGGGAGATGGATGCCAATAGCCTGGCAGATAATCCCAGAGACAGTAGTGGAGTACTCTTAAGAAATGGCACATCGTCAACACTCTAGATGGCCTGGAGGACAATAATGTGTGGGACAATGCAGCTATCCATGCCTAAGTAAAAAGGAGTTAGAATAGAATCGAGTTCTTGGTTTTGATAATGCACTATAGTTATGGTAGCTGCCATCACTGGGGGAAGCTGGTAGACGGGCACACAGGACCTCTGTACTCTGCAGCTTCTTATGATTCTATATGTAATTACTTCAAAATAAAAAGTTTTTTAAAAAGTGGTTCAGGAGAGTTGGACTCTGAAAGTGAAGAAGTTTTAGGAATATCTTGACCTATTTTATTTTGCTTATATTTTCTTTGGTATATATGCATGAAAGTGATATATGATAAAAACCTCTAAGTCTCAAGAGCTCATTCAGTGTAAATACAAAATATAGACTCTAAGCGATAAAATGGCTACATGATATTCCAACAAACTCATCCTGATTAGTCTCCCACAGGTCCTGTGCTTGATGAGGCCCCACAGAACACTCTGAATTTTGGCACTCAGAATGCTGCATAATCAGACAGGGCAGGTGTCCCAACTCCACCTGCAGGTGACTGTGCCCCAGGCAGCCTCTGCACACTAGTGCCGCCGCTGCCCTCTGCCCGCAGTAAGAGGCCTGTCACCACATCTCTGCTCTGAGTCCTCTTTTAGCACTTTTAGTGCGAGTTGGAAGCAAGAGGGGAACAATGGCAGAGATTGCCTGACATCTCCTTTTTTCTTTCCCCCACAGGGCTGCCTCCTGCCTACAGATGCTTTACCAATGTGCTCAGATTTAGATAATAGGTGCTGGAATTTCAACTCAAACTAGTGTCTCCCTTTGCACTGTCCAGTTCCCCAAAGGGTTGCTTCTCAGCTCAAAGCATTAACTAAGTCATTTAGCAGTAGCATTCAGGCTGGATATCTGAGTGTGTGAATTCTGTCCAAAAGCTGCAGATGTTTAAGCTATTTCCTCCTGGAGTTTGATGGAATAATAAAAGGTTACTGTTGTCACAGTAAGGAGGTCTGCAGCTGGTCCCATTTCCTTTTATTACTATCCAATGTAAACAGATTAAATCTAACTGCTCGGATCACCAGAAGGGTATATTTTTAACCAGAAATTCCTTATTTTTTCTCCCTTTCTTTTATACTTTGAGCACCCTCAGCCTCTTTTCATATGCCATTTTGTCTTTGGGGATATGTTGGCAACTGATTGTTCAAACAACATACCTCTTTTCAAGTTCATTCCCCCCTTTCAATAGCCAAAATTGCAGCAGTGACCAGGGAGTGACCCTTACCTTGAGGGCAAACTGTCTACCGACTGCAGTGCTGCAGGGGGTTGGGTAACCCAGGGGAACCCAGGGGAATCACTAGGGGCCTTCCCCTTCCACTTCTGGCTAAGCTCACCGCCAGCATCTGTGGACTTCCTCCCCAACACCCCACGGGGCTCCTGGGCACCCAACTCCAGAAGCCAGTAAGTAGCTGGGAAGAGGGAGATCCTGGTGCTCCCACCTAATCAATCACAAGCAAGACAATGCTGGTAAGGCAGTGGAAGGTTGGGGATGGTACTTGAGGAGGCATTAGTCCTTGCTGTTTAAGTTTTATTACTAACAAGTTAACAGCCTGTGAACTTGCAGGTAGATCATCTATCTAGTCCAGGAAGTTTTAGTACTTTCTTTTTAAAGACCTAAAACCCCTGGTTCAGAAGACATTTTACCTGAAAGTGTACGATAAAAGCGACTCAGAATTGCTTTGCTTGGAGGAACCTAGGGCCCTGGCTCTTCCCAAGTCTCCTCGGTGACATCTGATGCGGCACCAACAAATACGATTTGAAAACCATTATCTGTCTCTAAAGATGAAGAAACTAGAGAAGTCTAGAGAGAGTAAAAAATAATAATAATAAAAAAAACCTACCTAAGGTCACATGGTCAATAAATGACAGACCAGAGTCTGGCATTTTCCCCACCACATGACCGCTTTACCCTTATATCTGTGTTCTGTGTCCTTAGACTGAGCAGGTCTTGGGACTTACAACAATAACTTCGAGCTTCCAGAATGAGCAAAAAGTTCCATGAGAAAGAAATATCATATTTTACCTGGCGAAACTGATTTTGTAGGTAACTGGGGACTCTAACCTAACCCAGTTTAATAACATCCAGAGATAACTATCTAAAGGGATAACTTTTCACAGCAGCACTACGAGCACCTGAGTATTCAACTACGAAATTCTGGACATGACCATGGCAACCACTAGTACTGGGGAGACATGAGGGCCCTGAAAATAACACTACTACATAAAGCAAGCTAAAAGGGGGCAGGTGACGGAAATGTGAGTGGACGGTACACCAGAAAAATGAACTGTACATCCAGACTCCTCCTTCCCATTGCAGTCCCTCCTCCCAAAATGTGAGATGAATTTTTTAAAATAATTTTTTATTTTTCAATTACAGTTGACATACAATATTAGTTTCAGGTGTACCACATGGTGATATAACAAAGTGATCACCCCAATAAATCTGGTACCCATCTAACACCACATACAGTTATTACAATATTATTGTCTATATTCCCAGTGCTGTACTTTACATTCCTGTGACTAATTTTATAACTGGTAGTTTGCATTTCTTAATCTCCTTCATCTTTTTTGCCCATTCCCCATCTGGCAATAATCACTTTGTTCTCTGTGTCTATGAGTTTGTTTCTGTTTTGTTTGTTTATTTTTTTTAGATTACACCTCTAAGTGAAATCATATGGTACTTGTCTTTCTGTCTGACTTATTTCACTTAACATAATACCATCTAGGTCTATCCATGTTGTTGCAGATAGCAAGATTTCATTCTTTTTTATGGTTAAGTAATATTCCATTGTATATATATGTACTACTTCTTTATTTATTCATCTATCGATGGACACTTAGGTTGCTCTATATCTTGGCCACTGTAAATAGCGCTGCAATGAACATATAGATCTGCACATCCCTTAGGAGGAGTGTTTTGGGTTTCTTCAGATAAATACCCAAGAGTGAGATTATTGGGTCCTTCTTTGTCTCGTGGTATAGCCTTTGTTTTAAAATCTATTTTATCTGGTATAAGTATCACTACTCCAGCTTTTTTCATTTCCATTTTCATGAAATATTTTTTTCCATCCTTTTACTTTCACTCTGTGTGTGTCCTTCGATCTGAAGAGAGTCTCTTGTAGGCAGCATATGTAAGGGTTTTGTTTTCTTATCTATTCAGCCACCTTATGTTTTTTGATTAGAGCGTTTAATCCATTCACATCTAAAGTAATTGTTGATATGCAGTTATTGCCATTTTACAATTGACATTTTTTATCTTTTTCCCTCTACCCCGCCCTCTTCTCCCCACCCCTTTCTTATTAAAGAAGTCCTTTAAACATTTCTTGTAATATTGCTTTGATGGTGATGAACTCCTTTAGCTTTTTCTTGTTTGGGATGCTCTTTATCTGTCTTTTGATTCTAAATGATAGCTTTGCTGGGTAGAATAATCTTGTTTGTAGTCCCCTGCTTTTCATCACTTAGAATATTTCATGCCAATCCTTTCTGGCCTACAAAGTTTCCGTTGAGAAATCAGCTGACAGTTTGATGGGACTTCCCTTGTAGGTAACTAGATGCTTTTCCCTTAAAGATTCTCTGTGTTTAACCTTTGGCATTTTAATTATGATGCCTCTTGGTGTGGGCCTCTTTGGGTTCATCTTGTTTGGGACTCTGCGCTTCCTGGACTTGTATGTTTATTTCCTTTACCAGGTTAGGGACGTTTTCTGTCATTATTTCTTCAAATAGGTTTTTAATTCTTTGCTCGCTCTCTTCTCCTTCTGGTACCCCTATGATGCTAATGTTGGTATGCTTGATGTTGTCCCAGAGGCCTCTTAACTATCCTCTATCCTCATCTTTTTGGATTCTTTTTTCTGTTCTGACTGGATGTTTTCTACTATTTTATCTTCCAAATTGCTGAGCTGATCCTCTGCTTCATCTAATTTACTACTGATTCCCCTGATGTATTCTTCACTTTACTTTCTGTATTCTTCATCTCCGACTGGTTCTTTTTTACATTTTCTATTTCTATTTTTATGTTTTCTATCTCTTTTTTAAAGTTCTCAATGAGTTCATCTACTCCTCCCCTAAGTTAACTGAGCGCCCTTATAACCAGTGTTTTGAACTTCACATCTAATAGATTGCTGGTCTCCATTTTGTTTAGTGCTTTTTCTGGAGTTTTGTTCTGTTCTTTCATTTGGGACATATTTGTCTCCCTGTTTTGGCCGCCTCCCTGTGTTTATTTCTATGTAGGCAGAGCTGCTATGTCTCCCGGTCTTGGCAGAGTGGCCTTATGTAGGAGGTGTCCAATGGGGCCCGGTGGCACAGTCTCCCTGGTCACCTGAGCCAGGTGCTCCAGGTGTGTCCCTTATGTGGGTTGTGTGTGCCCTCCTGTTGTAGTTGAGCCTTGGTTGTTGTTCGCACGTCAGTAGGAGGGACTGACCCTCAGAATGACTAATTGCGAGGACTGGCCATGACTACAGTGGAGAAGCTATTTGTGCAGAGACTGATCCTATGAAGTAGGACTTACTTTAGTGGGGCTCTGGTGCCTGCTGAGTCTGCCTTTTGGGTGTATCATTTGTGGAGGTGGTTGAGTGGTGCTCTGGTGTGGTCTGAAGCTGGCCACCGGGTGTGTTGGTTCTGGGGCCTCTTGGTGGAAGCTCTGGTGCGGGCCAACGTCAGCAGCTATCTATGTCCTACCCGGGGCCACCTGATATGAGCTACAAAGAGATCTGTATGGTTGTCACTTGTGCTATGCTTGGAGGTGCCTGGGAGAGGCTAAGCTGCCAACTGAGGCTGGCTGCCACTAGTTCCAGGCTTGGGGCTGCTTAGTAAGACATGCCAATGCCAGATGTTGGGATTTTTATGGGGTTTGTGAATCTTTGAGAAATTTTAGGAAAGGCCACACAGCATGAGCCAAGATGGGCTGTTTGTATGAAAAAGCCATGGGAAATGGCTTAGGTGGGCCCACAAGTTGGGATGGTTAGGGTCTCAAGGAACCACCAGGACAGGACGAATGGTATAAGCTAGATTGATGGAGACTCAGATCAAGGCTGCTGCCTGTATCTGCACGCTGGATGAGGCGAGGACTCAACAAAAGAGCAATGACTTCTGTCAGCACTTCTGTCTAGGAGAAAGCTGCCCCTCCAACCCTTGGACTGAAGCCAGACAGTTCAGTTCATTCCCATGTGTCCCTGGAGCCTTTTGAGCTACTGGAGCTCAGACTGAGTTCATCAACGAGTAAGTATGTGTGCAGGCCCTTCAGAACAGTGCCTGTGACTCCAGCTGCCCTCTGTTTCACTAAGCCACAATCTCCACTGGTTTTCACAGCCAAAAGTTATGGGGACTTCTCTTGCCGGCCTTGGAATACTGGGCTGGGGAGCCTGGTATGGGGATGGCCTCTGCAGCCGAGATATCCCTCCCTATTTTTAATCACCACATGTGGGTATGGGACCAGCCTGTTCTGAGTCTCTGCCCCTCTTACCAGTCTCAACATGGCTTCTTTTGTATATCTTTAATTATAAGACTTCTGTTCAGCTAGACTTCAGGTGATTCTCAATGATGATTGTTCTACAGTTTAGCTGTAATTCTGATGTGGTCGTGGGAGGAAGTGAATATAGAGGTTCCTACTCCACCCTGGAAACAGGGTCTTTTGAGAGATGTATTTCTTCAGTTAGAAGAAATCTTTTGTTTTCTCTCATGCTGGCTGATAGGATGGCTTTAAATCAATTATATCTAATCCCACAGATGTCTCTGATACAGCCTCAAGGTATCTCCTCAGTTTTATTCATTCACTTTTATTCATGGGATTCAGTTCTATATTCTCTACTTTTCATTAAGACATCATAGTGTAATACAAAGAGTGCCAGAAAAAGAATTCTAGTCTTTGACTTCCAGACCTGGCTTCTAGTCCTAGCTCCTCCCCTTCCAAACTATGTAACCCTGGGCAAATCACTTAACCTCTCTGAGCTGCAGGCATCGCAGCTCATATAAAATCCTATAAAATGAGTGGCAGGCACTGTGAAGATGAAATGAAATAAAGCATGTAAAAGACTTTTAAACTACAAAGCACCATAAAAATGTGAGGTGTCCATGTTATTACAATTATATAATCAGTGGACCAGACACATGTTATTGCATCACTTCAGAACTGCTCCTGGAAATTCTGTTCTCTTGGCTCCCACTGAGATCTCACACCTACCCTCACTGTGCTAGGAATGTAGGGCTACCTGCAAAGAGCATGGCTACGGGTCTTTCCCAGAGCTAGTCTTCCCAGCCAGCCTCCCTTTTGATGGTGTCTAGAACAAAACAAGACTATAAAGTAATTCTTTAGAAGCTAAGTATAGAAAATTAAAAAGAAGGTTAACTAATCCAGACAGAAAAAGTTTTGATTTATTACTCTAACCCCTTTTGTCGTAAAGTGGCAGTGAAACGAAAGCAACATTTTGTAGGATGAAGGGAGAGGAAATTTAGAGTTGGACAGAAAAATCCCAAGGAAATGAAAGTGCTAGTGTGCTCTGAAAAGTAACTCTCCAAATACGCCATTGGTCACCTTGATGTTTCCAGGCCTCCCCAATGGCTTCCAGACCTAAAGTTATCAGTTTACACTGAGTGGAGGCCTCTCCCAGCTGATGGTGCTGCTAATTTCACTGGGGATCTTTCAGCCTCTCACATCATCACTGGACGAGATGAGAGTACAATCAAAAGCTAAACCGACAAGTGTAGGAGATGATGAATGAGGCAGGGCAGAATTCTGCTGCCTCACCACATGGGCTAATTAAACTTGATTGTGTCACTAATTCCAGTGGTGAGGCTCTTTGGGAGCAGAGGGGTAGGGCAGGAAGGGTCGCTCTTTCACTCAGTTTTCTAAATACACTTTCAGATAAAGGCTTTCTATACAGACCACTGATCGCTACATGTGGTCAACAGCCAAAAGATCACATTTAGAGCAGGTAGACCCATTTTCAGAAACAAACATTGGGTAGGTTTCGTGTGGAAATGCAAACCAGACTTACTTGATCTAAATCTCCTTTCTCCATTGCCAGTTCCTCCATCTCTGGTGCTGGCTCATCTTCCAAGAAGGGATTGGTGGATGGGGGTGGAGAGTCAAGTTTTTTCTGTTAAGAAGACATGAGAAAGAGGTATTTTCTGAGCTTTCCCCATTGATCTGCTTTTTCAAGTCTCTCCAACAGCTATATCATGAAATCTGATCTAATGAGCAAGAACTGAGAAAACATGGACCACATTTCTCACCTTCAGGCCTTCAAACTGCTTTTGCATCTTCTTGAAACCTTGTTGCCTACCCTACCCCTCCCAATCCCAATCTGGCTAAAACTCTCTTATCCTTCAGCCTTCAAATTAGAAGTCTCTTTTTTTGAGAAGCCTTACTTATCTGTCATGTTTAAGTTAGATGTCCCTGCCACATGCTCCCATACCAACCAGTACATCCCCTACCTGGGTACTTATTAAAATATTGCGATTGCCCATTTATTTGTCTTCTACCTAGATTCCATGAAGGCAGGGATCGTGTCTGTTTTATCCCCCCATCTTCTCTCTACTGCCTGGCATGTAATAGGTGCTCCATAAATATGAATGAATCAAAATGCCAGATGGGTGTGAATTCAAAAACAAACTATAAAGCTAATCTTACATGCTCTATGTTATAGGCAAAAATTCCTTCCCAAATCAGTCTCATGACAACCACAACCAAAATCTCCTTGACAAAAATTACTTTCCAGCTCCTGAATATAATTACTCTTTCAAAATATATCACAGCGTGGGACCACGGGCTAGTGGGAAAGCTGGAGGCGGAAGATGTGGGTTTTAGCTCCAACTCTGCTGCACTGGCCAAATCATCTATCTTCTCTGAGCCACAGCAGCCTCATCTGCTGAATGAGGATACAGTCACAGGACTACTTGAAAGATCAAATGTGATAAAGTGTGTGAAACCCTAGAAGAAGCACATATAAGGGACACTGGTGATGATAATTCCAGTGCAACAACAGAATTGAGGCAGCTCTTTGGAATTTTTACAAATTTGACCTCAAGATGTTGTTTAGGCCAGGGAGCTGGGAGTTCTAAAAGAAAAGAAACTAAGTGGACGAGCAGGATAAAAGGAATTGGCTGGTGCTGAGGATGAGGGGAAGGGGCATGGAATGGCTCCTGAAGATAAGCCGCCAGGTAGACAGGGAGTTTCAAAATATGCTTATGACATATATCATTAAGCATATGTCAGTAGAGCAACTTAAACTAATCCCTAAACCAAGAGGGACAGCAGATGGATTACAGGGTGAATGATCTGTCAAGTGCCAGGATATCAGCTAAAGATATTAAAAAAAAAAAACAGAAAATAATAAAATTTAAACACAAAAAACAAAACCCACACCTGTGTCTGGTTTAGGCTTTGAAACAATTCTGCTTATACTCACGTCAACTACTTAATTCTTGGCCAAAACACTTGGATGCTATTATATAGCTAGAAGAGCCTCAGTATATGGAGAAAGCCTTGTGATTAATGCATTAGCTCAGGGTAATCATTAGCAGGATAATGATTTTTGTGATATCCTGCTGAGAAACAATATGGCCTAAAAACTAAGCAAACATTTCAAATTTATACACTCCAAACTTTGGCTTCTTTGCCTGACATAGACCCAGGAAAAAAAAAAAAAAGCCTATAAAGTTATTTAAGTTTATTTTTAGAATTAGGCTATTTTTAGAAAGACATGTTTCTATGAAAACAGTATCTCTAAGCTTTAGTTGTCTGTAAGGGCTGCTGGTAGTTTAGGAAGAGGGGAATTGGTGAGAAAGGGAATTTACAAAGTCTAAGCTTCAACAACAAGATAAATTAGTTTATAATGTTGAATTCCTTAACCTACTGGCTTAACAGTGGGTTTTAGGATCATACTTCTGAGCTGAATCTCTATGATTTCAAATCTTTTGGTCCTTTAGAGATGTGGAGAGCAAGTCAGTCACTGGAAGTTGAAAGCTCTGTTCAAAATCATTCAGTGATAGAAACAAGATCTGGACTTCTGAACTAAACATTCCTCATCTACGGCTAGGTTTATCAGAGTTGATAATAACGTCTCGCAATTACACAAAGGTGGCCTTCATTTTAAAAACAACGTGTTATGAAAATCATGACAAAAAGTGGATATTGGCGAGGTAGACTGAGGGTACCCTTGGGCTCCACACTCACTGGTGGAGTGTCCGATGGATGGATGTAAGTAGTAAGAAGTAAAACATAAAAGGCAGCGTTGAAAAGGCATTTGGGGCAGTACAGGGTGAGCCACTTGTTCGCAAAGTTTCTAAAGGTTCTTTCTTATTCCCACTGTCTGTCTCTCTTAACATCCTGATGAGATTCCTGAAGGCGTGCGGGCACTAAGGAACTCCTTGCTCATTCATTGGAGGCACACGCATTCCAAGTGTGGACCAAGTTAATGCAAGAAAAGTGATTCATTCTTCCATCTGTCTACTAACAAATGGATGTGCTGGGCACTAAGAGTAAAGTGGTGGGCAAGACAGACCACTTTCGGCCCTCCTCAAGATCATGGTCAGGTTAGGGAGACAGAATTTAATCAAATAATCACATAAATGGGTGATGAAGGCCTTGCAGGAAAAACTGAGGTTGTTATGAAAGGATGCGACAGAAGGTCACAGAAAATATCCCCAAGGAAATGATATCTGAGCCAGGACTGAGCATATACTCTGTTCCGGGCAATCTTCTAGGCACTAGGAATACAACCCTGAATAAGATAGATTAAAAAAGGGTGCGATGAAAGTAAAATTTAGAAACTGAGCTGGGCTGGGGAAGTGCTTCTTTACATAGAGCGATCAGAGAAAGTCTCTTTGAAGAGGTGATGGCTGAGCAGACACCTAGATGAGGAGAAGGAGCTAGTCAGGCAGAGATCTGGGGAACAGCATTCGTAGCAGGGGGACCCAGTGCAAAGGCTGGAATGAGGGATAGAAAGGAGGATGGGGGCACGAGGCAGGAGAGACAGCAGGTGCCTAATGGGAAAGGTTAGATTTTCTCACTGTAGTTGGGCAGTTAGTAGGAGTTTTAAACAGGGAAATGATATGATCTAATTTAGGTTTTTAAAATATCATTCCACTGCTGTGGGGAGGCTGTAATGGAAGCAAGACCAGTTTAAGAGGCTATGGGAGTAGACAAAGTTAGTGTTGTAGAGAGAGAAAAAAAGTGGCCAGATTTGGGACACATTTAGGAATGAGGTCAAGAGGATTTGTTATGAGAGTGGATGTGAGGGTGAAGGAAAGAAAGAAATCAAGGATTATTCACTTTTTGGCTTGGGCGACTGCATGGCTGGTGTCACCATTACCTGAGTAATAAACCCTGGGTCCAAGTCCAGGCTCTCTCACTTGGGTACACTGCTTAACTTGTCCAAGCCTCAGTTCTTCTATCTGCAGTATGAAGGGATATTAATGCCTGCCGCACAGAGCTGTCATGAGGATGAAATGAGATACTGTATGTAAAGCATGAGATACGTATATAAAGCAGCTTAACACAACACCTGGCACATAGGGAAAGCTCAGAAAGTGAGAGCGTTCATTAGTATTTAATAGGGGCAGGCAACTAAATAAGGAAGAACAGTAGTTGTGCCTCTCTAGTAATTCTCAGAAGGAGAAGTGGGAACACAGGGCTAAGAAGTCTCGTAAAAAGAATTCCTTTTAATCACAAGTAAGATCCTGTCCCGACCATTTTGTCTCTTTGAGCTCTCTCCAGGAAATGAAAGCAATGGGCCCATCAAATTACAGGGCAAGAGCACACTTTACTAGTCTTCTCCCATCTTCCCTCGTCTCCAGCGAAGCCCCTAAAGTACCGCAAGAACCACTACCCTCTGGGTAGATGTGACATTACAAAGCCCTGTGGGCAGATAGAGACTCCTGCTATTTAAAGCTCAGATTAATTTGCTGTGATGAAAGAACAAGTCCTTGCAGAGAGCAATCAGTGGCACAACTCAGCCTTCTGTGCACGAATAAGCCCTGCTGTCGGAGCCAACCTGACCACACTTTGCATTCTCGCTTTGCAGCTGTCGTAAACCATAGAGAATTACGAATTTGGCTTTAGATTTTGAATAACTCAAATGACATATTCCATGAGCTCTGGGGCTGCTAAATGAAACCAAAAAATTGCCAAGAAATGCACAACTTCCCAATTTTAAAAGAATCCATTCTTTTTTTTTTGGTGACAGTTGATTTCAAGCTCATACAGGAAAGAAAAATTCTTCGTATAGAAAGTTAATTCCTACTAATTAAACCACATGGGATTCATAACACCTCCAAAACAGTAAGTGCCACAGGTCAGCCAAGCTGTCTAATTTACTGTTAGGAAGAGAGAACCTGGCTTAAGTCATTAGTATAGACATATCTGGATCTGCTTTTACAAATCCCTTTCTGAGGCCCTACCTGGACACTTCAAATTATCAAAGAAGGAACTCTGAAATTTAAGACTAATCTATTTCCTTTCCCTAGAGGAGAAAGCTCTCAGTTATGAAATGCAAGTTTCACAATTTCTGCATTTCTTATTCTATAAATACTTTAGACCAATTCCTGATCTGTCCTTAAAGAGATGGCCTGGAGGCTTCAGCTGGTAGGACTGTAGCACCATGCTCTGTGCACCTGGCTTAATATTGTTGGGACCCTGCCCCCCACCCCGCCCAGTACCACCAGGTGCGTATCTTATACTGTGACAGTTACGTATAGATTTCTTTCTCCTGCTAGGTCATAAGCATCTGTCTTATTCAAATCTTTTCCTAAGGCCCTGCACAAAGAGAGCTTGAACATTTATAAATAAATGCTGATCAGATAAGAAGTACTTAATAAAATCTTCTTCAGACAAATTAGCAACATTTTCTATTTTCTATAAACAAAATTTTAAAAACCTGTGTGTGTGTGTATGTGTGCGTGTGTGCTTGTGCGCACGCTCTTGTAAGACAGTCTCAAAAATATACCCCAAATTATTAAACAGTGGACATCTCTAGGCAGAGGAATTTAGAGTAGTTGAAAAGAGATTGTTCTTTTAAAATATTTTATTGTCTGAATTTTAACAAGCATATATCTTTCCTTTCTTCCCCCTCCATCTCCCTCTTCTCTTCCCCTCTCT